CTCGGCCAGCGGCTCTCCCTGCCCTGCCGGCTGCTCGGGAGCCGCGCGGACCCTTTGCAGACAAACCGAGACGGGATATTTCACCGCTGTCCGTGTGGGACGCGCTGAGGTTGCCTTTCAGCCCTGCTGCCCTGATGAATGCTGAAGAAATCAGCGTCGCTCACACTCCCTCGATCTGCAAGGACGTTGCGCTGAACAGAGAAGAACAAATTAAAAAAAAAAAGAAGAGAACGGAAAAGGATACCGGCAAAAATCCTGAGTGCGTCTTGTATCAAGGTTTTATTAGACATTAAAAAAACAAAAAAAAAGAATCACACAAAGGGAGTTGATATACTCATTCTATAAATAACTGAATGTGCTAATTCTCACCCACACGCTGGCCCTGAGAGGAGAAAAAAGGGTAAACTGGAAGAGGATAAAGATCTGCAGTTCTTAAAAGCACATGGAAATATGATACCAACGTTTTGTAATGCAGGAAGGAGCCGTGGCCGTTTGGCACCGTTCCTAGATGGATATGGCCTTTGAGGAATACAGGTTTCAGGTCATCTTGTGTAAGAACATGAAACGCAGCCTGTAATGACCAGCTGGAAGACCATCTCTTGAGATGTAGCTGCCGAAAATGGTGTTAGGTGGACAATGAGTAGCTAATTCTGTCTCTGAGGCTGTTATAAAAAAAAAAAAAAAAAAGCTTAGTGCTAAGTTGTATGAGCAGGAGAGCACGAGACAGGAGCAGGGACATGATTTTACCTGCATCAAATGAGGCTGTTCCCATTCTAAAAAACGTGTTTGAGACCTGGAGCGGGGCCAAGCGACCTGCGTGATCCTCGGAGAGCCAGAAACAAGCAGGTGCCGAGGGCCGTCCCCGCTGGCGGAGAGGTTTATCTTATTGCTAGAGGAGCGGAGAGGGTGAAATAGGGGGAGATGAAGACAGACATTAACTGGCATAAGGCCTCCAGCCATGCGCTGCTCCTGTGCGCTCTCCAGGGCTGGTTGAGGCAGGCGCTCTGGCCGAAGCTCTCCCCACCGTCCAGGCGTTTGAAAGGTCTCTCCGCCCGGTGGATTTTCTGGTGGGAAACCAGATGGACCCTAAGCAGAAGCACATGCAGCATGGCTGGATCCCCAGTTTCTAGTATCCCGGAGCCTCTTACCCAGCAGATTTCCTTGCATGCTGGTGGCCAGGCAGGGCAATCCACAGCTACTTCCTTGAAGGTTGCAGAGCCTGGAAAAGGGACTTTTACTCAAAACCCTCCACCCTGTGGGATCTTTCAGTTCCCCCCTACACCCCCCCAAAAAAAAAGGAAATATGATTTCGAGGAACAAGCTGCAAGGTCCAGTTCCCCCACGCTCCTGGCCTCATCCCTCTGTGCTCCCCTGACCTGTCCCCAGCCCCAGGGATGCTTTGCCCCACGAGGAGCCAGCGCAAAATTGCTCTGCAGCAGAACTTTTTTCTTGCCAAAGCACTGCTTTGTGCACTGTTCCCTTTGGGACAAGGGCAGAATCGCCCCATTGTCCCTCCTAGGGGGTTGAGCTCTTGCAGCTCCCCCTCTGCCAAAGTTTGTCAGCCTGCCCCGTTCTGCAGGGTGGGTTGGGGCGGTTGTTGCCCTTCTAGCACCCCAGTGATGGAGAAGTCGTTTGGTTTGGAGGAAGGGCCAGAGGAAGGGACGTTCTGCTTGGTGACCAGTGTCTGGCAGGGGGAGATTTGCCAGGAGCTGGGGCATTTATAGCAGGCATCGGCGCAGACCCGTAACCAGCAGCCAAGCACCTCTCGGCCCCCCTCTTCCTGCTACTCGCACATGGCTGCACATCGCCTCACCCAAGCCAAGGTTATTTTTCACCATTTTCTTTTCTGTTTGTTTGAATCTTTTGGTAAACAGCAGAGTCTGTGGGGACTGCGGATTTTCACTGGAAAGCTGGCAGGAAAAAGCATCTCCTGATGTTGCTGCGTCGAGAAGCGCGCAGGAGAATAGGGCCTTGCCATTAAAACATCATGCTAATGCTTTTTCCTCTAAGAGCCCTCTGGGACTGGAGGCAGAGCAGGGCCTAGACAGGCAGCAAACAGCCAAAGCCAGCCCCGAAACATTGCAATCTCTGCTTTAATGGCACGAAATTATTTCCAAACTGGAAATCTCCTTCTCCTGGGGTCCCTGTTCCCGTTCCCTCACCCCAGCAGGGCTCAGCTTTCCTCCCAGCTCACATCCTCATCTTACAAAAATGCTTTTGCTAGTGGCTCAGGGAAGATAATTTTGGGCTGTCAGACACAAAGGTTTTACCTGTTGGCACCAGTTGATTGAATCTCTAGACCGGGTCTGCAGCAGTGGTTGGGATCTGGGTGTTGGGGTTACCACTCAATAACCCGTCTTCACGAGGAGGTAGAGCAATGGATGCAGGCTCAGCCCAAAGGACAGGTCATTGGGGTAGCTGTAAAAGAAAGTTTATTCCCCAGTTACCACCTGGAAACAGGGAGCAGGTTCACAAAAAAGCAAGACAAGAGGATGGACTCAGAACCATGAGGATGTTTCATGGTTTTACATACACACCAACAGGTTTTCCTGAGCCAAGAAGCAACAGAAGGATGAGAGAAACCAAGATACAGCTACTGGATAGGAAATGAGGTCCCCACACAAAACCAAGACACCTCAGCTCTGAGCAGCCTTTTACTTAAGGCCCTAATAGGCCTTAATTGCCCTGAGCAGTTCCACCTGGGACCCATGCCCATGGCCCCAGACTCTTTTTAAGTTCAGCCCTGGACCCTCAGCTCTTTCCCCAGCTTCATCAGAGCAGCTTTGCCCCTACTGTGTCCATGCCTGGTCATAGACCCTGCTGCCCTAGGTCCTGACCCACAGACTGGCTTCCCAGCTCACCCCGGGCTGTGCCTCCTCTCCAAGGAGGTGTCCTGGGCTTGGGGCTGCCCCCTGCTCACCTTGCTCCCTGAGGGTGCTCTGGGACCTGGGGAGATCTCTGTGGCTGGGGGAGATGCAGAGGTCTGCAAGGAAAACTGTTCTTCATCTCAAAGTGGCTTGCTAGTGTCTTCACATAGTCCACCCAAGTCTGGAGGAGATGCTGAATCCATGTGGGTGCCTATTAGTGACTTTATTCCCCGTTTGAACACAAGATTCGTGTCCTTGTCACAGGCTCCCAAGCAGCTCTAGTTCCCGCCTGCAAGTTTTAGCTTTATCTTCCCAATCTAGATAAAACAGGCAGAGGAAACTTTAAAATTTGGGCTGCTGGTTGCATCTATCAGGCTAAATTGATGGCATCAGGCTACGTTCCCAGGCACTGTCCCATGATCATCCACGCAAATCGTTGGTGTGGTCCCCTGTGAGGCTGACTCAGCATGTCCAGGGACAGGCTGGGGGAGTCTCATGGGAACAGCCCCTTTTGCACCCTTCCTCCTTGTTGCATTTGTGGTTCAGCTTGATCCCGTTCCAGCGTAGTCCAGCCCTGCTTGGTGCCCGTTTCCAGTGTGACGGGGCAAGCTGTGGGGCTGGATACGGCCCTGTCAGCACCTGGGGACTCTCATGGACATGGGGCTCTGCCTCCGGCACTGTGACTCCACAGCACCCTGCTCCTGTGGCAAGAGCAACTCCAAGCCGATGGGTAACCAAATCCTGGGGAATATGGGATGTTAGTGGGCAAGGGCTGGTGCCCGGCCCTCGAGCCGTGCCGGCCGAGCAGCTCTTCCTCCGTGGGGAAGACACGCAGCGAGCAAGGACGCATCCGCGCCAATCCCAGCTCCTTGACCTAATTTAGCTGTTTACCAGCGGATGGAGAAGGGAGGGGGAATCTCTCCAACCAAGCACCTATTTCTGCTTCAAAGGGAGCCCGGCCCAGACAGAGGCTTTTAACTGTGCTGCGCCAGACGTTAGGGCGAGTGCTTGCAGAGGGGCTGCAAAGCGCTTTCCCC